TAGCAGAAAAATTTGATGTTTCTCAATCCACCTTGACAAGGACATTCAAAAGTAAGACGACATTGGGACGAAAGTTAAAAAAAGTCCAATTTATCTAAAAACAAAAAGATTTAAACCTCCGAAAAATCAAAGGTAGTTAAATTTTTACATTAATTATTTATACTTGTTGTCCAAAGCGGAGGTTTTTCAATTTCATGTAAATTGTAAGTTAACTTTTAATATCTTTTAGATTGGATGATGTTGTTTTTAAAAATTTCGAAAAGCTCTAAAAGCGGAAAAGCTCATCACACAACCACCCCCTTCAACTTGCATTTATGAAGAGTCAGCTGTATTCCACATTGCTTTTTAATATTTTGCTTATTTTTAATTTGGAAGTCGTTGGATAAAGCGAAGAATTTGTTTATGTTTTTCTAAAAAATCTGAATTTAAGATCATTTTTATGTCATTATATAACGATCTTTCAAGAATTATGACGAGCTGAAAAAGTTTTTTAAACAAAAAATATTTTTCAAGTTAAAAATCAATTTATCAATTTAAGTTTTAAATTTAGGCAATGATTATTTATTTTTCGAGAAAAAAGTCACTGGTTATTGCTTTTGGAAGCAAGTTCCATGTTGTTTCCTCCTCCAAAAAACTTCCCAATGACGTAAAAAAACTCTAAACTAAAAAATCAATGCTACAGATTCGAAAAGATTTATATTTAACCTCCTTCAACTGTCTTTTTTCTTATAGTTATCTTTATTGGATTGCCGTCCTTATCATATTCTATTATGGTTTCCTCGGTGATCTCAACTTTTGGACATTTTTCACATTTTTCGTTTTTCTTCTCATTGTCATTAGCTAAACCTTGCAAGTCCTGATCAAGCTTAATATAGTAGCTCAATTTTTTCAAAAGTTTTTGCCATTCTGGGCTTCCAAAGTCGTATTCTCCCTTAAGTTCTCCTGGATTGTTCAAATTATTCCAATCTTCAGGCGTTAAAAGATTCTTCAGATCAGCCTCTATTGATTTCCACAGTTCATCTAGTTTTTTTTTCAAATCTGCAATACTTTCATCTCTCTCAGTGCATTCATCAATACATTGAGATGGATTCGAGTCTTCACTAACGCTGTCCCCACCGCCACTTGCTTCTTGTCCTAGAAGGATGAACAATGACAGTAAAAAGAAAGAACTTTTTAAAATATTTTCCATTTCGCTTGCAATTAAGAAAACTTAAAATGAAACTGATACTTATCATGACATTAGGCGTCGGCTTTTATGCAAAATTGTTCAGTGGAACCAGTGTTGGTCCCAGTGATCTCACGACTTTCGATCACGAAATCAATTTACAATAAATTTAACTTTTTAACTATGTACGTGAATTGGTAATTAAAATACTTTTATCAGGTTGTTTGCTTTTAACTTTAATTTTTGAGCAAACCATTTTATGAAAAACCCGAGTAGCACCGAAGGTTCATGTTGTCGATTTAAGTTTGCCATTTGGCAATTGTCAATGCTTTTTCAAATTTATGGCAGTACAATGGTTGAGTTGAATGTGATATCGCCTTGTTGAGAGAATACCCTAATGTCAGTAACCTAATGACAAACCTTAAGTCAACAAGGAATAAAATTGAGTTCTCAAGACTACTTTCGATCACGAAATCAATTTAGAATAAATTTTACTACCTACTTAACTATGTACGTAAATTGGTAATTAAAATACTTTTATCGGGTTGTTTGCATTTAACTTTAATTTTAAAGCAAACTTTTTTATGAAAGAATAAGTTAATGTCAATAAACTAGTGACAAACACAAAGTCAACTAAAACTGAGTTCAATTTTCTCTTAATTAAACTAAAGGACTTTCTCGCTTCCTTAATATTTGAGATAATTTTTGATTATTCTGACGAATTCTTTCGTGATTAAACGGACATTAATAAACATCGTACATAGCTGAAACAATAAGCGCAAATGATGAATGTTACACGTATCAATTATATCCTAAGATGAATGTTACACCGGTTGACAACAAAACCATGAATTTAACTTCAATTCCACATCATCAACTAAATATTTCTTAATTCAATTCTGATTATTAATCAAACAAATTCTTTACCACCTCAAATTCCTTTTAAAAATAGAAACAAAGCATATTGTGTCAAATAAAAACATTTCTTAAGTAAATTTGTCTTGTGATGTAAGTTTAATATTGAAATTTGATAAAAATTCTTATGAATACAACAGCAATGTTGATAACGAAAAANAAATGAGAATTAAAATACTTTTATCAGGTTGTTTGCTTTTAACTTTAATTTTTGAGCAAACCATTTTATGAAAAACCCGAGTAGCACCGAAGGTTCATGTTGTCGATTTAAGTTTGCCATTTGGCAATTGTCAATGCTTTTTCAAATTTATGGCAGTACAATGGTTGAGTTGAATGTGATATCGCCTTGTCGCCTTGTTGAGATAATACCCTAATGACAAACCTTAAGTCAACAAGGCATAAAATTGAGTTCTTAAGACTACTTTCGATCACGAAATCAATTTAGAATAAATTTTACTACTTAACTATGTACGTGAATTCGGGGCTTCGGTCCGTGTTCCGAGATCCGTTTAAGGTCCGTTTCCTGTTCCGGAACAAGGTCCTTTTCCTGTTCCGGAACAGATTTATCGTTTGCGGAACGGTCCGTTTTTGTTCCGGAACAAGTTCATGGTCCCCTTAAGGTCCGTTTCCTGTTCCGGAACAGGAAAAAGGTTCCGGACCGAAGCTCTGCGTGAATTGGTAATTAAAATACTTTTATCGGGTTGTTTGCATCTAACTTTAATTTTAAAGCAGACTTTTTTATGAAAGAATTAAGTTAATGTCAATAAACTAGTGACAATCACAAAGTCAACTAAAACTGAGTTCAATTTTATCAATTAAACCAAAGGACTTTCTCGATTCTTTACTAATTGAGATAATTTTTAATTATTCTGATGAATTCTTTCGTAATCGAACGCACATTATTAAACATTGTACATAGCTGAAACAATAACCACAAATGATGAATGTTTCGCCGGTTAACATCAAAAACCTGAATTTAACTTTGAATACGTATTATCCATTGAATATTTCTTAATTCCATTCTGATTATTACTCGAACAAATTCCTTATCACCTCAAATTCCTTTTAAAAATAGAAACAAAGCATATTGTGTCAAATAAAAACATTTCTTAAGTAAATTTGTCTTGTGATGTAAGTTTAATATTGAAATTTGATAAAAATTCTTATGAATACAACAGCACAATGTTGATAACGAAGCGTATAAGCAGCAAATATTAATTTAAAACTTTTTAATTAAAAATGATAAAATACTTGTTAAAGATTGATAACAACAAGTGGTAATGATCGAGACATGCGCAAAATTTTGTTTTATTTTCCTTATTGTCGTCACGATTATGAGTTATAGTGAGAAAGTGTCAGAGATTGTTTTGGAAATAATTTGAACATCGAAGGCTCCTGGATCTGGATACTTTCCTTTGAAGTCCTTACCATTTTGTGTGTTGCCTTGAGTGTAAGCTGCTCTTCCGCTTCTTGGTGGCATGTCTCTTGTTGAATTTGTCCCTTTCTCGCAGCCCATCGCAAAAACCTTCGAAAGAATCTTCAAATCCTTTGAACTTTCTAAGCTGCTTTTCATTTCCAACAGACCAGCATAAAGAGAATCAAGTAAAGTTCGATCGCCAACTCTTGACTTTCCATGCTTCATAATTCCATCGATTCCTAATAATAAGCTTTCCATCCAACATTCAATGGAGTGTTTTTTGAAAGAAACAAATGCTTTTGATGCATATTGAAAATAGATTGAGAAAATAGCTCCACTCGTTCCTCCCATTGAACTCATGAGAATTGTGCTGATTTGTAGGAGCATCTCGTGAGGGTCACAAACATTTAATCGATGTGATTGCAATTCTTTCAATAATGCTTCAGCCCCTCGACTTAATGTTGTTCCAGTGTCACCATCGCCAAACTCAGAGTCAAGTTCATTTAAATATTCTTTGATATCAAGAACAGCTTCACAAATTGAAGTCAAAATATTTGCAGTAACTTTATTGTTGTCATTCGTGATGAACTTTATCCCTTGCGGCATAGGAAAGACTTTTAAATGTAATTTTTGTAAAGTAAATGGCTGGAAGAGATAACTACAAGGGACATTGACAGGCAAATCAAGATATTCAATCAATTTCAAATCGTGGACTTCTAGCAATGTCACTGACAAAGCTTCTTTGGACAACGATGTTAAAAACTTTCCCGCATATATTCGAACGACCCGCAATGAAGATAATCCTTCAATCACTTCCGTAAATTCCTTCACGAAATGATTGAAAATGAATTCAGATGCTCCGCCTAAATTGTTGAATAGAATCACCGCATCCGATTTCACATCATTTAATCTCAATTTCTCCTTCATGATGCCAATAATAGGCTTGAAACTTTTTTCCTTTTCAATTTTTATCGATCCAGCCTCTCCATGAATACCGTAACCGATTTCAATATCGGACAGAATGCTTGAAGATTTGTCATGATGAAAAGAGTATCCGATTGTTCGTATCCATCTTTTCTCAAGTAAACGAAGACAAAAGTCATGAATTTCATTTAAACGTGATCCTTTCTCATTCATTGCACCAGCGATTTTATTGATGAGACTAATTCCAGCTAATCCCCGACGTCCAGTTGATTGACTTGGATTATCAATCGAGCAATCATCGTCAACAATTAGCAGTTTAATATGTTGATAGTTGTGAATATTTTTAGCCATTTCAATTGCTAATCCAAAATTTAATCGGTCGCCAGTGTAGTTGTTAATAATGAAGAGAATCTCACGGTTTGGATCGTTAATTATCAATATCGAAGCTAAACAGCTAAAAGATATTTCCTTAAACCATCATTTTGTTCACATCAATTATTCATCTCACCTCATGACTGATGGCGATGTGAAAATATCCCCAGAAACACCAGACGAAAGCATTCCTTTTCCAAGAAAACCAAAAGCAGGTCCCGGTTCATGTCCCGCACCTCCACCACTTATTAAAATAACTTGATTTCTTCGCTTTAAAAAATCTTCATCATTTCTCATCAAAATTCCATGTTCTTTGTAACATGAAAAGTCATTCAACATACAGAAACCCAAGAGAGACGACTCAAGATTAATTCCGTTTTCGCTATTCATTTTTTTTTGTTCTTTCCTTTCTTTCTTTTACTTTACGGTTTCAATTTTCAATCGTAACTGAAGACTGCACAGAAGCTCACAATAAAGAAGATAAGAAAGATGAGATAACCTTGAGAGTGTGAATATATTTTTATTTTTAAATAAAGTAAGTAAGTTTGATGATGAAGAAGAAGTGGAAAGGGAATTAAAGTTCTGATAAGGTTTCGAATTCGAAAGACTACTCATGTTTGTGTTTTTTGATTAAAATAACTCAACTTGTGATTTATGTTAAACTGCTTTAAAGATGAGACAGAGAAAAGTTTCAGTTAATTCGAGAATTTAGCATTTGGGAACGTCCCACACACGATTCACTTATTAAGCTCTAACTAGCGCAAGCTTTCATTTTGCAAAACGATGCGATACTATAATTATGCTATTGAAACTCTAAAAACTTGTAACATGCAAATGAGAAACTTCAACATTTAAAATGAAAATCTTTTCGACAACGTTTTTAATTATATTGCCCACTTTATGGTGCTATACGTTTGAAGTTGATACAACGAACAACTTTATCCTTTTAATTTTAAACATAAGTTAGAGAATTTCATGTGAGATGTTAAAAATATCACACGAACAATTAAAATTTCTTCTTTTTCGTGTAATGTTTGAACGACTCTTCATGTTTGTAGGAGTGCTTGATGTCAGTTCCATTTCAAAAAAGCACATTGCAACGTTTTGTGTCAGAATCATTCAATGCTCGTTAAATTGCGTGCTTTGGGGAACTTTTTCGATTCTTTATTTAAAATCAAATTCAGCACGTTAGTTGTTTGCAAAAAAGTACTCTGAAATGTGTTCATGTGAGAACTGTGGAAATATCCACACGTGTAATATTAATAAAAGAAAGTTGAAGATAAAAAAAATCGATGGCATTTGAAAGCGAAGAAAATCAATCACAAACATTCATCCAACTTTTCTTTTTCCATCTCTTTCCTACCGTATTACATATGAGCATGATTTCTACATTATGATGATCGACATTACATATGGCGAAGTTCTTATTTTTAAGACTTTTCTTGTAACAGATTGTGCCAATCACCCTTCAAACTGCTCATTCAAGTCATCGTGAGAAAGCGCGGCAAAAAAAAAAGTAAATCGACTTTTTTCACACATTACAAATGCCAATAAAATGTAAATCGACGATCAATCGTGGCCTTAATGTGATACTGACTGTAAAGGGAAATGTTTATTTGAGAATCACGGATGGAACATTTTTAGATACTTTCCTGGTTTCATACTCTAAGTAAATAAATAAATAAATAAATACCGATGTAGATTTTCAAACGTTCACCTCTTGCCTTCTTTGTTTTTATAACATAAGTTTGATTCATTCAGTTTGGAGGAAGAAAAAGCGGCAGTTATGTTAATGGAATTGGATTAGCAATGATAGCAGAGCGGGGAACATATAAAATCGACATGGAAAACCGTGAAAAAGGCTTGGAAAATGACAATAAACATCTCTATGCTAATCGCTCAATCCGGCAAAATATCTCAATAAGAGCTTTGAATAACAAACAGCATGATTTTAAATGTAAATGTAACAACCGTAGAGAATGAGAGTTTTTCCAAGACTTTGTGGCGATTGATGTCAATCCCTAAGGATTTATGTCGTTTTATGGATGAAACATTTAGGAGAAGAGTTTAAGCAAATTGCTTTCTTTTTTTATATTCTGCGCATTATTAAAAAATTTATTTCACAATTTATTTGCATTTCTGATCATTTTAATACCTTTTAAAGATAATTTCTTTTGTGATTTGTGACAAATTAAAGATAAATTCATCATTAAAAAATATTAGAAAAGGAGAGAGCAGAAGCCATTAGCCTTATTGTCTAATTTAAAATTTCTGATGAGGGTGAAGTTCATTGAGAAGCAGGTAAACTGCCTAAGGCTACTCATCAATTCTCCTTTTCTTCTTATTTTTGAATTTTCCTATTTTAAAGGCCCATTAAAGAGAATATTATTAAGACTACTTCAGCTAACTTATATCCTAATTTCAACTCGTCTTTCTCGTCATACCATAAATCTTCTCTAATTGGTATGAGAATGAACGAAAGAGCTAATATTTGAGTGTTGTTAACATGTAAACACAAATCAATAAGATTATTAAGCCTGTTTAAAATGAAGTAAAGACAATGTAAAAGAATGTTTAAATTTTTAAGCTTAAGCTGTATAAAGATGTCAGATATAAAAGTTTAAATCATTAATTACCTCAACAGAAAACGGAGGAAATATTTTCGTTGAAATAACACATCGAGTGGCATTAGCAACATTGTAGTCGTAAATCTTACGTTTAATAGTTTTTAAACTACATAATTGACAACAACATTAAATATGAATACATAAAAGCTATTCATTGAGCTTTTGATGTTAAATAAACCTTAAATTGTAAATCACAATTTAATCAATTCGTAATCGAATAATTAACCAGACATTACATGATTTGATTGAATAACGAAATGATTTGAATGAATAACGTATTGTAATCAGTTAATTAGCTTATTCTTCACAAGTGTGACAATTTCAATCACATTTCTGTTTAATATTCCAAGGTGCAAAAGTTTGTTTCCGATTCGTCAACCGCTTTATGAAATATCATTTTTATATTCCCATTGCCCCACCTCACCTTGAAAAGCACGACACGAATGAACCTTTATTATACTTGAACGTCATCAAAGTAAAAAAATTCTCTTTTGATTGCCTGTATTGACACTTGAACAGATTCAGAAAACATTAAAAGAAAAGAAATAAAATTGGAACCTTGATGTAGATGAAAATATGAAAAGGAAAATGGGAAAAGAAAATTTAATACATAAACATGATTTAGTATAAATAAGGAGAAACGACTTCACATAATCAGGCGAGATATTTCACCAAAGTGTACCGCTTAAATGAAATTGAGAACGATACATTTCAAAATCATATAAATTGTTATATTTCAAGCTCATGTTTGATAGAGATTTATACAAAGATTGAACATAAATCAGTGGCAGAGAAATGCTGGAAATACGAACATACATTTGTTTTACTTTTACTTTAACTTAAATCAATTCCGCGATAACTGAGAAGCAGCAGCGGGAGAAAATATTCGTTCCTTCATATAAATCCGTGTAGGTGTTGAAGGAGAATAAAAAAGAAATGTAAGGGTGGATTTAATTTATTTACATGAAATCGATTTGAAATCTTCAAATCAAATCCAACGTTGACATTTTTTTGCTTTCATGATTTTACTTTCCTGTCACAGATAAATAGTTACGAGACGAACTATTATGGATTTACGTGTTCTTTCATTATCAATGATAACGAAGAATGAAGAAGGATCATGTTAGGTTTCCTTATAAATGGAGGATTATGTAGAGTGCTAAACAGGAAGAGAGCTTAATAAAGGCGACTGAATACTGATGAATGATAAAAAATGCATGACAGTTTTCCATTTTTTGGCACAATGAGAATTTGTCTCTGCCATGATTCTCTTTTAGTCTGTGAAACTAAAAACAAAATAATAGAATTCTCTGTCAACAGATGCTAATCTCATCGTCATCTTTTGTGTAGATTCCACTATAATGATTGTTGATCCATCCTTATTCATCGTTGTCTTCTAGCAATTTCTTCCAATATAGCAGCAATGCACGAAAAGCTTTTCATCCATAAGAACATGTAATTGCATCACACATATGCATGTTCGTTCACGACAACAATGCCTACGATAATGCAGATCATAACTAAACAGAGCTTCATGACTTTTGCATTTATTTAAATTTTATTTCCTTCACTAGACAGAAATTTAATCATATAAAATTAAAACAAAGCGTGTACTGCTAAATTTGTTATTTTGAATGGCAAGGTTATCCAAAGGCATATTTAAATTATGAATATTGATTTCAAAATCATGAAAAGGAAAATAAAATGTCAAGCTGCATTTAGTTTATTGCTATGACATGCGATAGGTTTAACCTTTTGGCACTTACGTCATGTATAAACCTAGACCTTGTGTTGACAAGTTCAACAAAACAAGTAACATCTAATTGAATAGTTTGATTATCTCTCGATCTGTTACAAATGAATTCACTTTAAATGTTTATTCAGTTGATGCAAGAATCATCAAAAAATGGAAAAAAAAGAATTAGTCATGCATGACATGATTCGACAGTGAGTTTTCGATTCAATTTCAACTTATGTAAGTATCCATTTATGAAGTTCAGGAATGTATTTAGTTGGAGAGCGTTATTAAATTAACTTTTCATGTAATCATGATGATTCTAAAAATAAAAACATATATACGAAGTTTTGAAGCCACTTTGCAAAAGCTTTACATACAACTTTGAAGTTCCAATAATAAACAGAACATTTATCGATAATGAAGCTTGGCTTCTCAGTCGGTGTACACATGGATGCTATGCTATTTATATGAATGCTATGTATGTGTGAAGGCAACGGTTGTTATAGCAAAGTTATTTCAATAAAATTTGTTTAGATATGCTTTTTTCTATTTTTCTTTCTTCTCGCTCTTCGACACAAAGCAGTTGAATTCACCCTCGAAACCACCACAGTTCTTGGAAGCTTGTTGAAAGTTTGTTGATTTTCTGCTTTAAATTGTAAGTCTCGAGTGGAGAACGTTGTTATTATGGAATCAGAACTCATCGAACCTTCACTGATAGCTATGGACTCGTGTTTCACAGCTTTCGATAAAGATTGGTGAGTGAAAACTTTTCCTTACTTTTATATTTTCATTTAATTTGTAATAAAAATCAATAGAGCATAAATTATGTCGCTGAAAAAACAAAAAGAATATTCAGATAGTTGGAGTTAAAAACATTAATTAGATAAATAAAAAGTGTTGCAATTGGGTGGAGACGAGAAATATTAATTCATAAATATCTGCTTTCGACGTGGTAAACGTGTTAAGTGGCAGTTTAACTTTCTGTGATAACAACTTATTGTTGTGGAAATAAAATTAAACTTTTCCGATAGCGACGTAAACAAAAGAATCGTTGTGCAATTAATGTCAACCAAAGTTATCCATTGTGTGTTGAATGTGATTTAGAGGACTTGAGAACAAATAAAAAGTGGATATGAAGATGGGATCGTAATTAATTATAATAAATAAAAGTTATTGAAGGGCTTGAGCCATTATTACGTCATTGAGGCATCATTTATTTTCATGAATCGCTGCTATAACTTTTAAGGGAATGAAAGAAAGAGCCATGATTTGCAATACGATTCATTCTGAAACCCATAAAAATGACGTCGAATTTTCGTGGTGAAAAATGATCGAAAAAAAGTCGCTTCAATGTTATTTGTTTATTGATCAAATCGATTCATCGAACATTTTGCAAATAATGCCTTTGAAACGGTTTAAAATCCGTGAAAATGTAAATTTCTTTTTCTTGCTTTTCGTCAGGCTTTTCTATTTTCAGTTACCTGCCTACAATTTTATTTTTCCTTTTTCCTCTGAAAAATGGTTCCCTGAATAACATTTCTGGATTAAGAACAAATTAAAATTAAAACATTCAAAGCGGTGTTTTTATATATTTTTAAATCCGGGGATTAATGGGATGTTGATACACTCAAAGATATTTTATTGGAGCTCGCTTTGATTTCATTTCTTTAATTAATAATTTATAAAGTTTCATGGAAAATTAAACAAATTTGTCGACATCTTTTCTAGATCTGAACAAGAAATGAAAACTTGAACATTCCTTAAACTATTAAGGGGAATTGTTGACCCTTGTCTTTACAAAGGCATTAGAAGAACTTTCGACACATTCTCAAGATTGAGCAAATTCTATTGATTTTCTGTTGTAAATTGTTGACAAAAACTTTATCATTTAGTAACGTGTGTGTGTGTGTTTGAATGATTTTCATTCACCACTCAAAGTCTTTTCAGACTTTTCGTTTTTGTAAGCGGGCAAAGCCTTCTTTCTAAAATCCCAACTTTTACGTCACATCGTTAAGGGAAAGATATAAATAATCAGCTTTTTGATTCAATTTTTGTAAAGCCACCTACGCTATTTTCATTGAATCGGCTGATGAAAGCAGAGGTCAAAATTCTATCAACACGAGGCAATGAAAAACAGAAGCCGTTGGGCTGACACATGCTCAAATCAAATTGGATTTATGAATTAAATTGAAAATTGGTTAATCAACTTTACGAAATGGTTCATGATGCGAAAATACGATAAAGTGAATCTCAGCCTATTAATCATTCGAAAATGTTAAAATTTAAAACTTTTATGCGTTCATAATCATTTGAAAATGTAAACAAATTTGAAATTAAATATTTAAAAAGGAATTCATTCGAGGCAGGAGAGTGAAAAGGAAAATTTAACTCAGTTTTACGTACACATTGTGGATTGAAATGTCAGCGTCAAGATGAGTTCACATCAAAAATTTACCGAGGTGAACTCTGAATAAATTTTTAGTCAGTTTTCCTGATATTTCCTCAATCCATAAAGAAAATTCGGTAAATTCAGTCAGAGGGAAAATAAATATGAAAATGACAAGCCATGATGAACACCCCGGAAAATTTAACTCGAGTTATATATTTATGTAATCTATTTATACTTATATACACAACAAGAAGAAGGCAAAATCAAACGAATGAATAAACAGCAGAGAAAAAAAGTTCTAAGCAAATCAATTTTTTATTTAAAAATTACCATAAAGATCATTGGGAAGTGGAAAGACGTGATGCAGAGAGAAATTCATCATTGAAAAAAAGAAATAAAAAAGCAAATGATTTCAATGACTTTAGTGTGAATCTCGATTGAGGGAGAGGGAAAGGAAGGGAAAACGTAGTGCCTGAAATAACAGATATTCATGAACGCTTTTAAATTGATCGTCTTTCAATAGAAATTCACTGAGACCTTCACTATGTAACATTACGTGCCGCAACTGCTTACAAATTAGTCTTAGTCATGAAAGCAAAACGAAGCATATGAATGAAAATTCGAGTAAAAAAAATTTGAAAAATGAAAATCATAAAAGGCTCAAGCACTGATCCGCTTAACGCTCTCAACATTACGCATTTGGGAATGAAGAAAGAAAAGATGGCAAAATGATTCAAGAAAAAAGATAATGAAATGACATTCACGTACGACCTTTACAACTTTTATCACAAGTACATAAAAGTTGAGCAGCAAAAACACATTCAAATCGCATCCAAAAAGCATTCGCCGAATGATTAAATCATTTAAGCTCTCACGTGACGTATTTTATTATTCAATTATCGAAGAAATTTTGCTCGCCTCAGCAGACGAGCGGTAAGCTGCTATTGAAATGTTATTGATTGGCAGGGTTACTTTGTACATAATATTATATTTAATTAAAACAGAGTTTGCTTAGTTACGAAGGGAAATTGATATATTGGAAAGTTGAGTAGAGAAAAATAAGAGAATAATCAAACAATATCTGCTTAATTATATCAGCGAGGAATATTTTTGTTATGATAATAGACAACCATTAATGTTCGAGAGTGACACAATTGACATTTTGTTCCCTAAAACCTTTTTATTAACTTAATGTCATAAAAACTTTTTCAGTAATTTTCCCTAAATAAACTTTTTATTTCTTCCTTCCCTTGACTTTTATGAAGGTGCTTCATAAAAATATTGTTTTGAAGTGTTTATGATATAAACCATGGGGTTCAATCGTTAACGAGTCTACAATCAATGCTTTTGTGCTACTTTGTGTACCCACTTGCTTCACTCTTCTTGATTGATAAGGCATACATTTGTACAAGGATTAAATTTAAATTCAGAAAAGATGTGGGAGGAAGATTACGAAATTTTGTATCGATATCAATTTCCTCTGACAATATTTTAATCTTTTTATAGAAATATAGAAAAAATTAATTTCTTTTATTATTCAGGATAAGAGAAAAATGAAAAAAACATTAAATATTTAATGCAGTGAAGTATCACGTACTTAAAGGATAAAGAATGTTATAAACCATTGAAAATCTTTTAAAACTTTATGTTGAATATCAACCACTATGGAAAATATACAGACGTAACATAAGTTTTTGAAACAGCTTTCCTTATAACTTTCTTCATTCACTTCAATAAAGTGCATAGAAAGAATTTGCATTCAATTTTTCCTTATTCTTTCCTCAAACATGATATTTTCCAACTTAAACACGTGTTCACAACGGTTTAGAAACATTTCAATGTTTAACTTTAATATTATGTGAAGGAATTGATAGAATTAAAAGTTCTTGAAACTTTCATTTAGCTTTGTTGACATTTTATCCTGGTTTATGTCGGTCTTAACATCTTTATCAAGTTAGTTATTTTTAATGCCACATTCTTCAATTTATTTGAAATATTTTAAATCAATACCGTCATATGACAGCTCGAAGTTTTTTTTAATCTATCTGTGTAGATATTTAGTGGAAGACATCAACAACAAAGCAAAATCATCTGTAATTCATCAGAAAAGAAGTCTCATTCTCAACACACAAAACCATCAGATTAATCGCAATAAATAATTCAATGTGAGCTTTATGTCTGCACAGAGTAAACACGAGTAGATACGAACAGATTGTAATTTATGGCTTTTTAACAGCAAAGTACACAAACAGAATATTGCTTCCTTTCGTGTAAATGCCGCTCCCAACTCTTACCCAATCGACTAAACATGAACAACAGAAGCAATTTATTTAAATCGGTTACAATATAATTAATAAAATCTTTTGATAAAATATTTATGAGGTGATAAGGATTAATTGAGAGAGGATAAGATTTTTTGTTATTGATTGTGCATTGTCATGCATTTCGATAGAAAGCTTTCGAGATTTCAGATTACATATTGAAGTGTCTGTGAAAAGATTTTATTTGGATAGTTGGATGATAAGTGTTAAAAATCTCGGTTCTTGTGGTGATGTTAACACCTGAAAATTTCATTTAAATTCACTTCAACATTTAAAAATTACCATCGTGTTCTCACATTCTCGCATTTCAGTGTTTATAGCTGCTATTGTCAGATATCTCAGTCCCTTTTCCACAGTCTGTAGATACGAAGTGAAATCTCTCATGTCCCTTTTCATTTAAATTAACTGAAAACAAAAAGCTGAAATTACCTTTTTTTTTGTTGGTTGTTGACATTTCCCATCCACCTGGTCTGATTTCACTTCAAGCCTATTTCACAGGTAGCAAAATGTAAAACTTTAAAAAGAAGAAGAAAAAAATGATTTCTTTTAGTTTTGTAATTAAACATCTCATTGTTATGAATCAAGTTTTTCATTCGAGTTAAATTATCTTCCAAGATGGAATGTTGAATGTAAAAGATAAAAAACTATGACACTTTATATTCTGTCATGATTTTCTTGAATTCCTATTCATGAGATGAATAAAGCGAGAAATTAAAAAGAAGAGGAAGAACGATGATGATGATGACCGTAAATTACGACTCTCAAGAGTCCAAGTATTTCCTTTTGAGATTTTATAAGACGAAAGCAAAGCAAAAGCAAAAAGAAATCTTTGTCACATTATTTACAAGCAGCATTAACTTTACCGTAACTTTTGCTTTAATATTTTAAAGTGAAAGGACAATTTACTTGAGTAAATATCTTCATACACTTTAATCATTGACAATCCCAAAGCTTTTCTTCTATTACGATGCGCTCATTTCAACTTAATTAATAGTTATTAATCACGACATGGCTACACGGCGTCGCTCAATAAATGTTGTGCCAAAAATAGTTTTCATTGAGCCCCAGAGATGAAAAAAGTAATAATAAATGACGGAGCAATAAAAATAAACATAAAATACTTAATTTAATTACCTTAAATTAATAACTGCCAGATGGGAAAGATATGACTTGCTTTACGAGAGTGACAAGATTTTACTAATTCTTTCGCTTTCTCTTTGAATTCCGTGGGACTTGTCTTTATCCCTTTACTAATTAAATAATACATGGCTTGGAAATTATTCTAATAAAGTGGTTATGTCGACATCAATGTGATGTCTTAACTCATTCTCTTCCACATATAAGTTTTCATGGAATTGAAACAAATGTGCGTGGTTGTAACTGCTTTCGTCTAAGAGCTATCATTTTTTCAAGAGATTACTTTGACTCCCAGCCAAAAGTACTGAAACCAGTCAACCTTGAACGACGATGGAATGAGATGTGGGAAAAAGTTAAAGCCATTTTACATATTTCACCATAAAATATACAAAACCATCAAGAACCATATTTAACCCCTTTTGTTATATTTTTTGCTTTTTTTTTTCTGTTGTTTTACAGTATGTTATAAAGTTGCTGTTGTTTCTGTTTGTTGTAGAAGAATTTGTAGCAAAATTTGTTATCGTCAAGAAAAGTACAAAAGTAAAGCTTGGTAAGTTTAAGCCTCACTGGCTTACTCGTATTAGGTATCAACAAAAAAGGGCTTTCTATTGTTGAGAAATGAGCTTTTGTCGCATACATAATTCCACAGATAGAAGGTAGAATACGAATATATTTTCATTATCCCATGATTCACATCAAAAGAGGCAAGCATAAATCATTTCCTTCGATATTCCTTCTTATTTTTTATCCTTTCACATTTAATTTAGTAAAGCGCTCACGAGTAATTTTTCTTCTTCTCTTCATTTGACTCAACGCACACGCTTAATATGAGTTCACTTCCAAACAAAGCACAAAATATTTGTCTTACATTACGAAAACATTACACACTGTTACCTTCTTTCTTATCTGAAGTGAGAAAGTGCGCGAGATGACAAGAATTCATCATTTGTCGAGGCACAAGCAGACACATGTATGCGATAAAATATTCATCAAAAAATGTTTAGAAATCATCGTTCCAACCCTTAAACTTCCCTTGCCTGCTACTTTCATTTCATATCTTTAAAGTTTCAACCTATGTGATTTCGCACCCCACAAAATTTCCGACTTTTCTTCATTCTCGTCGTGTTTGACAAACCCATGTGAGATGAGGAACGAAAAAAATGAGTTAAAATCTTAATTTTCTTCCTTTTAAATTTTTTATTATACATGACGCTTTCGGGTAGATGTTGGAGACATGGATTTAAATCAAGAGGGTTGTTGCATGTATATTTATTTTTATTCTTCTCTTTTCTTTGAATTAAACTCGCAATTAATTTAAAATGACATTAAAGCCATTTAATAAATTGTATAAATGTTCGTCATATTTTACATTTTTCTTTGCCGCTATCATCATTAATGTAGCCTCATAATTCTCCGCAGCTTTACACGAAGCAATGTGCACAACAAAAGATAAATAGTGTGAGAATCACTTTGGTTATCCTTCGTCTTAAAATGGTATTAAGCTGTTACTTGAATAAATAAATGCAGCTGATATTTTATATTATTTTTGGTATATTAAGAAAAGAGAAGAAGAAAAGAACAAAAGCTTGAAATTTAATTAAGCTTTGTTATGAAAAATAAAATTCTTATACACCTATTTCAATAAAATTTTGTGGAAACTTTCACACTCATAAACTTGTATAAATGTTAACGCTAAATCGCAATTAAATGCTTTTCCCTTAATTTCATTAGAATAAAATATAAACAGATATTAAGTGTTGACTAACACAATAAACAATCCTCTAATGTAAATTATGACTTGCTAGTCATAAAAGTTTTCAAAAACTTTCCTCTTCAATCTTAAACATTAGAAACTTTCACACTTGTACACAATATTCTTGAGTATTTACATGAAAAGTTTACTTATTTGCTTCGTTTGTAACAAACAACCGAATGAGAAAAGTTTTCTCGACTCGAAAGGGAAAGAGTATTTATGTTTTACTCCTAAAAAGGCGGTAGAAGTTCACTTGTCTCTGCTACTTATTTTTCGCCTGAGTTATTTGCATGTCATTATGATATTTAAGCAAGTTATTACATTTTCCATAGAGTTGAACGAAAGCCCCAAAATAAATAGTATGTTTCATTCAAACTGAAATGGCATCACTCATAGATTCAATTATGATTCATTAAGCTCCTTGAGTTTGTTTTATTCTCGCAAAGGAAATAAGAAATCATGATTGTTTGTTCTTCCTTTCAATACTTTTTTAAGATAAAAAGATTCTACTAAATCTAAAGTCTTTATTGAAGATATTTTTTTGCCTCAGCTTTGAAAGAAAATTCTTTTCATGCTTAGCTAGGTGTGAAATTCATTTTATTTATTACAATTTTTTTCAGTATTAAATGGAGTAAGACTATTAACACTTTGCAGCTGGAAAAGTTATAAAAATTTGTCGTTTTTCTCGATGCATTCAATTCCTTTGAAAGATTTTCTTTTTATAAATCTTGAAATAATGTGCAGATTAACTCTTTTAAATTATTTTTACTCATGTATTGGAATAATTTTGAAAAGAAGAAGAATTTTCCAACTTCTTAACAAATAACAAATCATTATTATTTCCTACGAAAACATTAATTTATTAATGACTTTATTTAGAAAGCACCCTTGTAGATCCAAAAATACTTCCAAATTACTCCATTCAAATTCATCTTTTTAATTATTTATCAATTTATATGAATTAAATTAGATGTTTTATTATCTCAAATTCCTTTCTTTTTCATCCACTTTCGCTTTTACATCTTCAATTTTATATTAAACTTCACAACATAAGAAATATTAATTTAGAGAGATTAAGATATTTCGGATGGAAAGCGAACGGAACTGAAACAAGTAGAATAAGGTTTAGCAAATAAAGCTGAAGAAAAAAGACCATGTGATGCTCGTCGTATTCATGTTTACGATTGAATACATATATACAGGCTTCTATTTACTTACGAATCTTCTTCTTAGTTTTTATTTCCCTTCCCTATGGACTAAGCTGATGGTCGAAAGAAAAATGAAAAGAAAAGTTTGCAATATTAAAGAAATGTAAATATAGGAAATCGATTTCCTACTATTAAGATGAAGCTTAACAAGAGATAATATTATTATTATTATTTTTATTATTCCTTGGGAAACATAGAAAGTATCTTCGAATATTGTGCTTTCTCATGACATTTGTTATATACAAAGTTATGTACGTTTATATTCGTATTTTAAATCAGATCAAGAAGCTATTTATGTCTGATGGCAGTGTGCTAAAAGCACTAAAACGTTTCAAGTACAACTCTTGAGATACAAATTCTAATCTTATTGACAGTTGAAAGAAAACGACATGACATTTCAGTTTTGAGATGATTGAGTTTAAGCCTTGATTTGGACTTCAACATGGAATAAAAAGCTTTGAAGCTTTTGAGAATTTATGAGACAAACTTCAATGTTTCTTTAACATAAAATTTGTGACTTATCATGAAGGTGAATAGAATGACAATTTTTCACCTCTTGCACTTACAACATGATGTGTAAGGTTTAGATTCTCAATAGCTCGGAAGCTTTTGATGACATTCTAACAGCTTTCGAGCTACTGAAGCTTAAGCATAACACTTGGCTTAAGTGGAAAGATGAAGGAACGTTTTCATTCAATTTCACTTTAAGTATGATGAATCATAAATTTTCTTTTTGTCTCGGAAGCTTTTAGAGCTTTTTACGCCTTGATTTAAAGTTTTTTAAGCTATGAATGATGATGTAAGGCTTTGGAATTCTACCTATGCCAGAAATTTCTCTTGCTACAAACGAGATGCAATAAAAAGTCTTTTGAATAAAAAGTTTCATGAAAACTGCAAAAGTTGAATGCAAAAGCAAAACTTTTAAATGTTGAAATGACATTTTTAGAGTAGAAAAATTGAAATGGTAGTTCAGTCTTTATTTGATTCTTATTCCTGAGAAATGCAATTAGGATATTAAAATAATTCGTAATAGTTTGACAGGATAAAATTCAAATTCACTGTCGTTGTAAATCAAGTTGAACAAAAGTAATTTTGTTTAAAAAGAAAAGAAAAATTCGCAATCATTTGGTTCAACAAAATCAATCGCGTAGTTCTGAAATCCTCGTTGGATCAAAGGAGAATTTATTTTATTGCTAAATTTGCAACACCTTGATTTGGTTAGATGGAATGTGTAGCACATTTATTTCACTAAATTACCTTCAATTTTCTAGGTACTCTCTTAGTGATATTTTCATACTCACTTAAGTATCTGGGAAATGCTTCAAAAGGTCTCGTCAACTTCCTCTGAATTTTAAATTTGTGTAAAATAAGTTGAAAAAGAAAATTGGATCAAAAGAAAATTGGTGCAAGCGACAAGCGTTTACCTTTTTTTTTCTTTTATTTTATTTCATCTCTTTTTGTGTAATTTATTTTATTTTGTAAAGTTTTTCTTTCTTTCCCACTCTGCTTATTTCATTCCTTAACTTGGTGTTCGCAAATTCTCACTCCGAGCGAGCCTTTTTTTCTTCTTGTAATCAACACAAAGGCATGAGCTGTGTAATGAAATGAGTGAGGTTGATTTTTCATCATTGCGGACCCATTACGAGAGTTTTTTCTGCTCTATTATCACGTCAAAGCTTAAAAGAGAAAGGAAGTGAACTCATTTTTTTACCTTGTAGGAAGGTTTATCAATTATGTAACCTATTTTAGCCAAAAAGGAGAAATTTTATGCATCAATTAACAATTTAATTCAATTATAAAGGGAGTCGAGTTTTGAGTTTTAAACTCCATCTCATACATTATGTTTGGAAGGTGATTTCACAATTGTTACAGAATAAACAAACTTCCCACGTTTGCATATTTCCTCTTATGAACGACGAAATAACATGAATAAGAATTCTAGGGAATGAGCTTGGTAATTGCGAAAACGAATCAGCCCCTAACATTCTCATCCTTCTACACAATTTAGATGGCATAACAATACTTATATCGAGCTTCATCGAAACGAAGCAAAATCGCAGCTGAATAAGAGTTCGTAAACATATTTACTCTCAACAAACACATAAACGACTTTGGTAGCAACACATAAACCGAACAAAAAGAACAAATCTGAAAGAAAAATAAATTTTAAATGATTTCATCGACATACATACAATTTTCAATTTTTCACGAATTTCGCAAGAAAAGTTCTCCTCCATCTTAACGTTTTGCAAATATTTTCAATAAATGCATGATTAAGTATAAAAAAATACTTAGCTGTTGGCATAATTCGGGGAAAAAGGGAAAGGGAAAGAGATTTCCGAGTAAACGTTGACATATAAAATGCATGATTGAAATTTTATGCTCAATTTTATGATTTGACTGTCGACTTTTCCCGGAAGGGTTTCTGTTTGTGATAACAAATTAAAATATTCATGAAGCAAAAAAAAAACAACATTGGTAACAAGTCGTATTTATGCCTTTTCTCATATTATTCCCTTTCTCAGTGATGATCGTTTGTCGCTTGCAGAATTCACGCTGATATGTCGTGCTCTGTTCCGCAACAACAAAGGCCATATTTATTTAATACCACCAAGCAATTTGGAAGAAATTTTCGCCGTATTCGATAAGAATCAAGATGGTAAGTTATAGTACATGTTTATAATAAAACGATTATGCTAAGGATATGCAGATATATTTCACCAAAAGAGTTTTTGTTACATCCAAGTACATGTGTCGACAATGAAGGTTAACACGATAGAAAACATCGTCATAAAATGATATGTGACCGAAAAGTTCTTCTTGGGAAACTTCTGTATTGCAAATGCGGCTTAGAGAACAACGTATGGAACTTTAAGCCGTCTTCAGAGTACAGAAATTCCCATGAGTTTTTATTCTGACACTTATCAGCATTTTTCACACTCTGTATGTTTAGGTTCTTCTTCACTTCTTCAAAACCAGGTCGACGCTGACTCATACAAATGGAATTAAACTTTTTTTTTCACTTAAAAATACTCGAAAATGTTCTCGCACTTCGATGGCAGATTATGAGCAATGTGACATAAAAATAGAATTTGCTGAATACTTATTGAACATAAAGAAATGGATAGAAATATGAGCTTGTGAAAAGATTATTCTGATGCTTTTATGTGCTTATGGAATGTTCGCACATGACGTTTCCTATAGAAATACTTTTTAAAGAATCTTTTTGTGTTTGTTTATTTAAACAACTTGAATTCATCCTCAATTTTTTTATCTTTCACTTACATAAACGTAACTTACGAATTCTTATTTTGTCTCATGTATATGAAAGTTTTATTGAATATTCCTTGGAGACCCTAACTAAAAGACATCGCCGAATATGAAGTTAGAAGATTCCAAACTTCTTTTTATGCCTAACAACAGCTTCAAAAGTTTTAATCTGACAAAAATAAAAATGTCATGTACTGCGAATAAATCGCTCCATAAGTTTTCTTGATTTGTTTTTCTTCCTTCTTAGTTTTCCTTTTTTGTCTTGGTCCTTCCGCATGTTGGTTTAAGTTAAATAAGGAATTTGCGGGAAACATTTCCAGTTTTAGACACATTGAAATGGCTGAAATTCAGGACACTCAACGCTTAAGTCGTGATACGCAATGCTCAATTAAAAATTCGTTATTCTTTTCATCAAATTGCAAACAAGATTTTCCCTTGTCTGAGAATAAAGCCTTAAATCTGCTGAGTCGAAAATAATTTAGTTAAAGATTTTTTTTTGTGCTTTCAACTTGAAGTCACTTTTTATAACTCAAAGGGAATAAAATGAAATTGTTCAAACGGATTACTCGAAGTTTTTCATCCTTTTCTTCTCCTTTTCAGGCTACATTGATCGAGATGAATTCACTTTCTGTTGGAACTCGTGGATAAAAACGGTAAGTTCTCAATTGATAAGAAAGGATATAAATTTTTGTATTCGAATATTTTACGTTTCTTCATTCGAAATGACGCAAAGGATGATTATTTCGCTCGATTGATTGAATTGTCTGATAAGAAGAGAAATTTGAAGTATGTAGATGAAGTTTATTGCAAGATTCATTAGGCCTGCCTTTGTCGATGTTTCTTAAATGATTGTACAAAATTAAGTCCAATTATGAATAAACTGATGACATCACAACAAAACGTCGTTGAGATTTGAAGAACACTTAAAACCATTATGTTGCTTATCATTGATAATCGAAGTGAATTGTTCAATGAAACACATTTATAGACATTATCTAAAATATCTTAATAATCATCATTCGTCTTATCGATATGCCGAGTCGTTGTTAGTCTTTTAATGAAAATTATAATTTATTGAAAAGATTACCTAATTGAAGTGATTCACTCAGCTTTTTTTTTTATAAAATTCCATCATGAGATGTTTCAATGAGAACAAAAATATTTTTTTAGTTCGCGTGGCTCGTCGGATACTTGATCCTAATACACTCACGAGATCCCCCCGCCCCCCGGTACAATGACCAAAAACATCTTTCAATAATTTGAATTTTCAACATCATACTTAATTCATCTTTCCTTCTCCACCAAGTTATCTTCTTAAATTTTCACTGACGAATATCCAAACAGATGTTTTATTGTGAAAGCATGACACATTTTCAAAATGCTTCCGAAAATGAATAATGATAAGGAAAATCACTGGTTAATAAAAAAGAAAATGTGACAACAGTTGGCAACATCATTTTTTCTCCATTTTCACTTTATAAAATGTTTGTTTGAAACACATTTGAAATTGAGGATTCATTGCTAGATATCGCGACGGTATGAAAGCAGGAGACACAAATTGAACATGCAGATTGTAGGATTAAAAATACGTGAAGTCAAACTTCAAACAGGACATAACTTTATTTCCGACTAGACTAAATGGATTTGATTATTTTTCTCGTCTCTCGCTTTCTCACAGGAATTCTATTTGATGACATTATTGATTCTTTCATCATCGCTCTATTTTATCTTTTTATAGATTGTTCGTCCTATGAATGCCTTCCTGGTTGTTGATGTTCAGAACGACTTTATAAGTGGATCGTTGAATATCAGTAACTGCGCTGCACAACAAAATGGAATTGAGGTGAGATGAAAGTTCTTTATCTATGATGAAACGATGAACAACAAAAAAATAAAATTTCAATTCCCAATTAAGCTTTCTCGTTATTCCTCTCAAAATGATTTGAAAATCTCCAATTATAAATTAGCAATCTTTCTTTTTCAAACATTTGAGAAGAAAAGATAACAAGAATCAACAAACAATTTTTCAGATCACATAACATATCTAAGACTGATTGTAATTCTTCAAGAGTATTAAAGAACAAACAAACAAAAATAAACATACGATATTCCTTGAGCATTTACTTAATAAATATAATGAAGAAAAGTAAACTTTTGTGAGTTTATAAATGTATGTCGTTGAAGAAGCTTTGATCAAGTTAGCAACTAAGAATCAAGATGGTTTCTGGAATAATAATTCAGCCAAGCCTCGAAATAATTAAACTTTTCCATGGTTTCTCTCATGAAGAACTTTTATAATTTCCGAAGTGACAACAGGCTTGTCTTCGAACTGTGGAAGTTTATTTTTCTTGTGACTTGTTCTGAAGGAATTAAAGTAAATAATGTTGTGAGAGTTAGGTAAATCTACAAAGTAAAATCCAATTAAATTTTTAATTTTCCTTGCTTTTCAACTTTTTGATTACAGAACGATTTTTTTTTCATTCTTTCCACCCATCCAAAAAGTAAAGAAAAGTTTTTCTTATTCGCCTTGCTTCAAAATGTATTTATTGCAAAAGAAATTTTCATAATACCATTTCATGGCCTTTTAAATCGCTCTCGTTTAGCGGAAACTCTAAGTTTTATCTTTTCAGCAAACATTTAAGTTTTCCTTCATTTGAAATGTTAAGGCAAAAATTTATCCTTCAGAGAAAGAAATAAATGTAAGAGAAAAGCAAAGAAAATATTTCAAAAGAAACTTTCAAGATTCTTTTCCTTCTCCTTCTTCCCAATTTTCAATCACTTTAGCTATCGAGAACCGATAAGCAGACAGCGCTGTGAATTTTTATTTTATTAAATAACTTTTTATGGTGTGTGAAGAAAGTATTGAAAATTATTATCCATTAAATGAAGTATTCGAGAAATCTTGGCTTTCCTATGACGACTATCTTGAGGCCAACATTTAGTAACGACAAAGATTTACACTCTCTTCGTGACTGTTGATATGACAGTTAAATTTAAAGCGTGAAAATAAACATAAATCATATGCTTTTATGATTCCTAACGAGGGCTATGATTTCTGGATGTTTCGAAAAAAAATCTCTCCTGATTTTTCAGAGAAAATATTGAAAGGTTTTAAAAAAAGTTCAAAACTTGAATAAAACAAATTTTTATGGTTCGATTTGAAAGCGAGACATTATTAGAAATTTATGTCAGTAAAAAATTTTCATGAAAACTTTTACCATCTGATAGAAAAAAAAATAGATAAAAGTTTTATTCAACCAATTCTCAATGGACAACAAAACCAGCTTCATTGGTAATATTGTCTTTATTTTAGTCACACAAAATGTTTATTGGAGATTTTTTTTATTGCTTTTGTTTATTTTATTGGAAGATTTTTTCTATCAACTAAAGGATACCTCATGGAACGAAACTTCAAAAGCTCTTTCAAGATGAGGATTTTGATATTTAGGAGAAGAATATTGGCATGTAATTTATGCAAAATTGAATTTATGTCTCTTTTGATCATAGAAATTCTAATAACTTTATTACATAAATAGAAGTGATGACCTGAACAATCATCAGATATGTAAGGCATAGACAAGACATGTCTTCTGTAAGCAAACGAGACACATGAACATGAGCTTCTAATTTAAAACCAACATTTAAATAGGGCTGAACACATATTGAGATTAGTTCGTCCAGCTGATAACTGACCAACGTTCTCTGAAATTCTCTTACAAATTTGAAATTTCTAGGATATTCAAACATTAACATATGAGTTGAGTCATGAATGTAAATAGACTCATCGTGATGTTGTTTTTTTGTGCAGAAAAACAAAAGAAAATGTTTAAACACATGAACATTTAACACAAAATCGTCCCACATCAGTTGAAGCATGTAGAAACTGATTAAATTTTCATGAAAATATTCAACTTACAATTTCATTTTCATTGGTATTCTCCATTATGGTCGCTTTTCCAAATATATGAATTTTGGGGTTTTTTTTTGGCTTCTGTTACCATTTTGAATTTCACCATCATATCTAAGTGAATCCGAAGAGAGTTTAGTCAAGATGAATAATAGAAAAGCTTTAGTTTTCTTGCAAAGCTCTGAGCTGTTAGTTGCTCCTTCTTGTTCATAATTTGTAGCTAGTTTTAGTTAAATTAATGATGTTCACAATCCTCCCCCGTGTTTGAATCATAGTTTTTCTGATGATAAAATGAAATGAACGTTGTCTTGGTATTAAGTTTCATATTTTTTCTTTTCCTTTCATTGAAAGTCAACACCTGATACCGTACATCTCATCCTGATCATACTCATGGAACCCACGAAATCTTTTTTCTTGTACTCGTGCAGAGAAAGAAGAAGAAACAAATTTTTCATCTACAAGATTGTTCTAAAATACCAATTTACGGCACACGATGATGGATTTTCACGTTTCTGTAATTCTGAAATATTTTCACGTACTTTATGGTGCATTGCAAGCCATCGCATGAAATATGTGGTGATAAATATTCGGTAGTAAAATTTCCTGATTGTGATAGTGTTCTAAATTTAAATTCTTCTCCATATGTATCGTTGTGGGAAAATTTTCCCATCATGGCTTTAAAAATGTATTAGAGGAAAAGTCCAAACAATTAAAATGAGTAGCGTAGGGCTCTATTAAATGAATGATAAACAGTTTAAGTTTAAGCAATTCGTTTTATTCACTGCACATCTTAAAGTGCATTAAAATTCTCAAGAAAAAGTGGTTGGTAAACGGTAAAGTTGAAACAATGGAATGTCGAAGAAAAGTTGCTTCCAAGAAAATATTAAACATTTTTTCTAATAGTTGCAAAAATAAAGAAAGTTTAAATATTTTCATCCTATGGAAAAAAAGTTCTACTCAAGAATTGCAGTTAGTTTTATTCTTGGAACCTTCTGGGACAAAACTAAAAGAAACTTTTCATGTCAGAAAAAAAGAAACTTCTTGTTAATCTTCGTTAAATTATTTATCTAAGCACATGTGTTTAAACTTAAGCAATTATTTCAATACTTTTAATTTACAATAGTTTTCAATTGAAAAGAGAAAATTGTCATAAATATTTAAAGAATTACGAAAGATCATTAAAGTTATTCACTTATTTATGTTATGACACTAATTTGGGTCTATAAAACATGAAATATAATAATCTAATAAACAAATAATAACACTCATGTAAATAATAAGTCATTAAAATCCTGAATCATAAATGTTGATAATGAAAGCGCCGTAGAGATTCAACTCTCTTTAAAATTATTGGTAAAACGTGACAAATGAGAGTGAAAATAAGCGGGTTAATGTTCAAATAGTTATTTATTTTGTTTTTAAAATTTCTCTTGTGAAAGCCAAATGAAAATACATTTGTGGGTGTTTCGTTACAGGTTATTGATCCAATTAACAAACTAATCGACACGGTGGAATTCGATGCGGTTTTCTATTCACTCGACTGGCACCCAGCGGATCACGTTAGCTTTATCGATAACATCAAACAGCGACCAATTCATCCAACCAGTCCTGTAAGTATCAGCAGTTATTCCTTCCATTTACATGACTTGTATCATCGATTACACTCGTAAGTTCAATTTGAAAATATCCTACACATGGCAACACGATTGCATAATAAACACATAAGTGAACTTACGTATTTCTATTTTCATTCCTACCGTGTTGTCATGCAAACAAAGTTTAAATTCGTAGAACATTAGAGGCAGAATATATTGAGTGCAAATGACTTACATACGTTAGTACGGGTATAAATTACATTCGTAAAACACGTTGAAATAATCAATAGTTGAAATCACAATCTCACACTTAAAGCTCCATATCGAGACTAAATACTTCGCATTACTTCATTTATACTTTCAAAGTAGAGAGAGAAATTATCACCCATGAAATGAATTTTCTACTTTCAAATTCCATTCCAAACACAGATTTTCTCGTATTGTCTTCAGTAAAGATAGTTTGAATTCTCTTATAACAATATTTGAATGGCCCACTGCCAATTTCGATTTACGTAGACAATACGATAACTAGAAAGACATATTTACGAATTTGCGAATGGCAGAGGTCATTGAAAGCGTTGCAAAAACAATTTTGATTTTATCACAAAAGTTCATTTGGTGCTTACATGAAGGTGCATGAATAAATAACCCGAAAAACATTCCAACAGAGATAATTAAGTTCTCATATTGCCTCTTTTACGTTTCACACATTCTCAAACGACAAATACTTTCGAAAAGTCTTTATCTGATATCTTTTAGTAGAAATATTGTTGTATCCCTGGAGGCCAATTTCATGTGAAAACACATTTTAGTCGATAAATTTCGATGGTATTGGGTGCGGAAATCGAGACCTATCGATAGGATGGGTCAATGAGAAAATGGGATAAAGAAATAAAAACAATGTTCACAATTCGTTTCGGAAGGAGCTCTTAATAGTTTCATGAATACTTCATCCCAAAAGCCTTTAACAACGCTTCCATTGACGATTTTTCTTAATCAATTGGTGATTTTCTTTTCACTTGTTGGCTTATTCCTTTTTGAGTTCGATTCGGCATTTTGACTGACTGCTGACATAATTCCCAAAGTACAAATTTCCTCATACAATTTTATCTTTTTTTGCTTTTCGATTCTCGTCTCTATTTCAACTTCAATCACTTATGCTTTTGATATGTGATAGTCATAACATTTTGCAAGCTGATGATAATCAGATTACTGTCTCTGGAGGCACTTTCAATCGCTTTCGCTTTATGATGTCGGCGAGAATTTGCCATAAATTTTTGTTGTCAAAGTCATAAAGTTTTTAAAGATCCCAAAGGGAGACGTGAATGCCCTTGCAAAAATTTGGCATTCTAAGTCGTTGCGACACTGTCAACATATTTATTTATTTGTGAACCTTTTCTGTTGTGCATTTATCGCGCCGCGTCTGTTTATCTTTTTCAACCTTTTTATTGTATATAAATTTTACACATAATCCCGCTACGCTATCTAAACAAACGACTAACGACATTGCTTCCCTCTACATAAAAGGGGCTGCATAATTATTTATGCATCACATTAATTGCGCGCTTAAAAGCGATGTGAATGCATTTAAAGAAGCTTCCGCTTTGTTCCATATACAAGCGTATTTAATTTATTTATGTGACACCCACATGCTCACAGAAAATGATATGAAACTCAAATCTTCCCTTTTATTGTCATTCGTGCAACATATCATAGCCGATGGCAGCGCGAATGGCAATCTGTTGAAAGTTATCTACGAAACGTAGGAATCATTTCGGTTTTTGGTTTCCACTCGTTGAATTCATATTATTATTAAAATTCTGTATTTGTTTGTAATATCTGCGTATCCACATATTTATATTCAATTACAATTTTCAGTTAAATGCTGACAATGCTGCGGTTTATGACACAGTTATCTTTGCTGGTCCGCCTCCGATGAAACAGCGGTTATGGCCCAGGCACTGTGTGCAAGACACGTGGGGAAGTGAGTTGCACAAGGATTTGAAGGTTTGTTATCTAAAACGTGCGGGAAATAATTTAGAAAATTGTTTCCGATTCAAAAAACCTGTCAATAAATATTTTTAACATTTCAGATTATTGATAATTCTGTTAAAGTTTACAAAGGGACGAACCCTGAAGTTGATTCATATTCGGTATTCTGGGATAATAAAAAACTCTCCGACACATCGTTGTTCTCGCAGCTTAAGCAGAAAGGCATAACGGATGTATATGTTTGTGGTTTGGCGTATGACGTTTGTGTTGGTCAGTATTTTCCATTTCTGATATTCATTACAAATGAAAAAAATTATTTTTCTGTTCTTCTAGGTGCTACCGTTTTAGATTCACTTTCAGCTGGATATCGAACAATTTTGATTGACGATTGTTGTCGTGGTGTTGACATTCAAGATATTGAATCGACCAAAGAAGGAATCCTTTCAAATCACGGTGTAATTGTTCAATCAAATGAGGTAAACAGGAATGTTTTCTTTATTTTGGATTCGATAGAATCCGCCTACGTAAAAACCACAAATTTGAGGGGTGAATTATTGCGTTTTTTTAATGATCTCTTTTTAATTTGTTGTGGTTGAATGAATTTTAATTGTAGGCAATTATTCATTTCATTTCCTTTTTTTGCTTTCGTTCAGGTGAAGGCAATGGTGGAAGGACGTGACAGACGACCGGAATTGGGTTTCAAGCTGGCAATGGAGCTGAAAAATGCTGAGAATGAAAGCAAACGTGGTCGTCGCATAGTTTGAAGATATCCTGAATGTGATGTGAATGGACATAAAAAAGTTTTTTGAAACACCATGACTCTATTTTCCTATCTATCTTCATTCACATCCACCCTCGTCTAAATATTTGTTTTATCCTCGTCGCTAATGGCGAAATTTTCGGCCTTCTTTCTTTTTTTTCGTCAGTTTTATTTTTTCATTTGTTTTTCCATCGCTTCTTAGTGCTACATATTTATGAACATTTTAGATTTGTAATCTTTCTAGTGGAAATTTTGAAATATCATGAAATTATTCATTCCCAGAGTGTTTCGGTGGTGAGATATCTACAGTCTACAAATCCATGGCGAGCAATAAACTTTATGCAAATTTAATATTACGATGGGATGAAAAAGTTTCCGGGTTTCTTTTTTCTCTTTTCCTTTTTTTTTCTTTTGCTTACTTATTGTCTGTCTTATTGTGTTAAAGATTTCTTTCAAGGATAGTAATGTAGAACAAAAACATAATTGTCTATTTTCCTAAGTTTTCATTTCTATAAAGTTTTAAAAGCACATAAAAAGAAAGAAGAGAAGTTTTGAGTCAATTGCAGTTGCTAATGATTAAAAAATTATTTGAATGCCATCAGAATATTTGTTTTGATTAATTAAATATAAATGGATACATAAATGTTAAGTATGCATGTTGTTTGATGTACAATGAGAACAAAGTCATGTCCTCGCTATCTCTATTGCTTATTCCTATAATGTTACTTAAATATATTTAGATATGTAAAAATTGTATATTCTATATACATACATTTATTTATGTACAATTACACCACATCATGGTAAATATGTAGAATTTATGTAGATGTAAGACAGAATGTTCATAACTTCATATAAAACAACTTGAAGGAGCTTTAATAAAATCTTCATTAAATGTTTAAATTTAAGTAAATTTAGCGAAAATGATTTATTCACTTCGCATTACATTCTGACTTCTTTCTTGCTGTAATTTTCTCACAGTTTTCGCAAAGTTGTTGAATAACAAAATTTAAAAGAAATTCTTGCATTCATTTTCCAAACTTTGAAAGTGAACAAAAGAATTCTTTAAAGAGTCTCAAGCCGACAGGTAACGTGAAGAAGAAGAAAAAAAAAGGTTTTGACGGAAACAAAAAAGTTGAACTGAGAGAGCTTTAAACGATTTTCTTTCCCTTTCTTGCTGCCGGCAAAACTTTGTGTTCTGCAGCAGAAACTTCTGCAAATGTTTTTTGACATTCTGCACACCGACTGCAATTAATTTCACCTGGCGAAGGGATATTTGACTCCCATTGTGCATACACAATAGTACCATGGACCATGATTCCCTTTTCACCAAAATTACACATTCGAACGAGAAATACTGGGATTATCAAGCAAAGACTTTACATTTACAAACTGCTCAGCGAAAAAATTCATCACGTATTTTAAACAGAACAGAGCTGCATCGAATAGGTAATAACAAACTGCGATGTACAAAAGATACTAAGTAGACTTAAAAAGCAAGAAAATTTCAGCATCCTCCAAAGACATATTTAAAGGTTTCGCTCCTGAAATGTTGTTTTCTTCCTTCTTTGACTTTATAGCGGATATCATTTTATTTTATGATGCTTATATATGGAGCATTCTTTATTCATAACTGTGATGGTCGATCCACCGTACTTACAAAATATGACGGGCATAGAAATGAAAATATATGCAGAAAATGAAGATTACTTTATCAAAGCGGTAAAAGACGAACGTTATCGTAAATCTCCGAGTAGTTTCTTCTTTTTTTCTTGACTTGTTATCGCTTTATATTGAGAGGAGAACGTCCCAATGAATGGATACATAGCATCCGTTATATTATTTAATAACGCATACTCTTCGATATTGTATCGTTTGCTTTCGCTTATTTGTCAGTCTCTGCATACAATAGTAAACCAAAGTATCCAATTTCAATTTAGCGGTGGTGGATGAACGTACTTTTTGCTGGAGTATTGGATGGGGTTGTGATAAAAAGTTATGGCAGTGGGAATTGAGAAACAACATAAACAGAAAACAAACGAAAACAAAAATATTTCATCTTTTCACTTATACACACATCAGAGTAAAGATGTTTTGTAATAAATACCTAAATATGTGGTTGTGCTTAGATAGATATTCGAGTGCACTCTAGCAGAGTTCACATTTGGAGATTTAAATGATGATTAAAATATGCGAGGAGAAAAATCGAAAAGTATTAAGCTGAATGTTCAATCTAATGATATGGTTTGAAAACTTCGATACGTTTTTAAATAAAAGTGAAAAAGCACTTAAAGTCATTCGTTCCTGACCTGAACACGTTTCGCAAGGCCAATGGATATAAATCCTGTAAATTGATTTGAACTGTTTTTTATTGGTATATTGTAGTAGATATATTGATTTCGAGATGCTTATCGTAAGAGTATTCATGAGTTTTTCAATCAAAATGGCCACATGCTATGGGACTCATCTATTTTTCATTGTGTCACCTTCTGTGCATGACGAAAATCAAACTAAAAATAACTTCCATAGGTCAGCAAAAGGACCAGACGAAAAAGTTTTCAAAATCAATAAAATATTTTCAAATTGGAGGATAAAAAAAAGTTCGCAGGCATCAATAAGTAAAAGGATACTTAAAAAATCTGCTTGTGCTTTGGAGAAAATGTTTTCTTACTATGTCCGTAAGCAAGACTCCATATTTGATTTCCCTCAAGTAAAATCATCGATGTGAAACATAAATTTAAATGGAAATCAGTTGTCGAATCCCAAAGGTTAAATTCTGTACCAATTTTCTCGCATCTCCATTTTCCAGCTTCTATAATTTTCTTCATATTTTCGCATTTCTGACATCTTGAAATCACCAACTGAACAGTTTGTATCATTCGTTCCCTTTTTGGGATGAATTTATAAAACGAGTAACTTAAAGTTGTATTTTTAAATTAAAATGAATTGTTATAAATGTTCAAGTGTCATTGCTTTGTAATACAAAATAACTAAAATATCGATTTCTCGAATTCCAATTTCTATTTTTTTTCAATCAACATTTATCTGCATAGTGAAATTTTATAAATATCTGACACATCTACATTTACTCGAAAAATGAAATTTATAGCAAACTCAAATGCATGACAAAGTTTTAAATCTGTCAGCAACTGCCATGACAGTTTTCAACAATTTTAACATTTACATACATATTTTGTGATGTAAGTTATAACTGTAAGTGAACTAACTGAATCACAATCGTCGATTCGTCGTCAGAAAGCATCCCATTTTGTCGTGGAATGTGTCATGAGATAAACCGGAGAGAAGACTCGTCGTCAACGACAATGCTGGCAGTATTTTCTCCTATTACCGCGAAGAAAGCTTTACACAGTGTGAATTTTATATATGTACAAAGTTTGCAGAAAGACTTTGAATATTGTCAGAGAAAAAGAAGTGACAGAAAGGATCGGTTGATGGAACTGTCGCACAATGTTTTCTCTCAAGTCCCTTTTCTTAGGCTTTTCGCTTTCATCCCAAATGACATACGATATCAATTTTAAGTATATTTGTAGCTGTTCAAGACATTAAAAATAATATAAAAAAAAGAAAAATGTTTACTTTTGTGACATTTCGCTCCCGGAAACAGTTTACTGACTTCAAAATATTTATTTTTAACATTAAGTAAGAAAACGCATGACAACTGCCGTGTTCGTGGAAAAATTCTCTCGACAAAATAAAATGAAAAGTGTGTTTGGTCATCACTCGTATTGTTTGTTTACTTGTTTGTCTTATGTTTTCACAATCACCCCCATCAAAACATAAAAGATATTTGTTAGCACCACTCCAACATATTTAATTTATGAAGGAAAAATCTGTCAAAAAAGGAAAAATCTCACTTTTATCATCATCGTTGGTGCCTGACTGGGCAATAAAATAGAACAGAAAAAAAGCTCTGTGACAAATTTGCAACTTTTCGTAATGGTTGTTACATCGTCGTTTCTCATAACGCTCTATCGCCTTCTTCGACACAACGCAACACATACTTACAAGAGAAAGTTGGCAGTCATCGACACAACTCTCAAGCGCCCTTCCAGACAGTCTAATCAGTGAAGACAACCAAACATCTTTCGCATGATAAATATAATGTTTGCAATAGTACAACAGAAAATTAAACAGAACTGTTGTCATTTCTCTCCGATATTTTCATCAACATACACCGTCAATATTTGTTCTTCCTGCCGTTGTCTATCATAAAAGTGATTCAGGGCTCTTTCTTAATATTCTGTTGGTAGAAAAGGCTATTTTGTGTTGAATCTCGATGTCATTAGTAGAGGAAGACAAACGATTGAGACAAGAGAAGTGACAGTTTTTAGGGGATGAGATAAGTAATTATACTCTACGGTAACACGACAATGATAAAATGGAGAGCGAAATTTTGTTTTTCTTGAGGGAAAACTACGAACTACACCGCTTCAAATGAAATTTCAATTACATCGACTATAATGGTACAAAAGAGGGAAGAATCTAGCTTAATGCACAGACAGTCTTATCTCGAACAAAAGCAATTTGGAATGAGAACAAAGCATCAACAAGAATTCATTTGAATGACGACATTAAGATTAATTAATACAAAACGAATAAGTCACTTCATGATGTTGATGTTGATGTAAATAAAGCAGATGGAGAAGATTTTCTAGCCACATAAATAAAAGCTTTGTTCATTGTTTATTGGTGAAAAGCTTGATGAAAAACAAAGCTTTTACAAGCACATTAATAGAACATTTTTCAAAAATATTTTAATGTTATGCAAAATCTCCAAATAAACCCAAACAATTTTGAGAATTAATTGAATGTTTATAAAATAATTTTAAAATGTGAAATTGAAAAGTTTTTCAATTTCAGATTTCCTTCTGTACACATTAAAATGTAAAATCCTTCGTCAACTATGAAACTCAAAAAATAATTCATTAATTAAATCTACATAAAATTTTCACCCCTAAAAGCTCAATTTTTGGTTTCATTCGAGATTACGTTAAAAGTTGACAAACTTTTCTGTTGCCACAACTCAACCAGTCAACTGAGGACAAGAAGACAACTTTCTGTAATTTAACCTGATGAGATGTTTTGCTGAAAGAACAACAATAAAGCTCGAAAGTAACATTCTTAGCTTGTTTAAACTTTTTCATCATACATAAGTACCCGACGATGGCCTTGAGCGATAAACTCATTTATTAGGATACAAATCCATTGTTTTCCGAAGCTTTCTGAAAAATTTCCATGAAAGTCAATAAATTATAAACGTCGTGCTTCTCTTTTGTCTTTAAATCATTTTTTATAACAATAGGATAAGAATCCGTTATCAAATTATTTCATAAAGATCATAAATACTTTCTAGGTTTATCTTTTAATATTTTTTATAGTCTCTCAAATGCTTTAAAAGCTTGGGATGAGATAAAAAGATGGATTAAAATATGGATGGTTAAATGCCAATTGGGTTGTTTTTCCAACATGCGATATGATAATAATTTTTCCATCAACACCACCATGTACGGCTCATGAATTGAAAGCAAACCAGAAATATTTTTATCAGCAGTTAGATGCATTCTTGACATAGAAGTTCAGTAAGAAGGAATTCATTCATTGTTCATATTGTTCATTCGTTTCCTTCCGTTCTAAATTTCCAACCATATGAAAAACTTCAATAAAAAGAGATACATCATTAGATGTTATTGCTTGCTTGTTACGGAGAACTAACCTTTTCTAAAATTATCGAGAGCCATGAGCAGCGTCTCCTTGAATAAGTTGAAAGTTATTTTCTGAACATGCTGACGCCACAACTGCATTGTAGATATGAATGAACTGTTCACGTTGAGCTCTATAAATTATTTTCACTTAACCATTGTGTGTTTGTTCTCAAAGTCTATAAAAATTGAATAACAACGATGTGCAGGCCATGAATGTGAAGTTGCAAACCAAAAAAGAAAGCTTTGACGTTTGTTTTTATAATGGTTTTGTACTACATATCAAGTTGAGCTATGTATAAGTGAAAAATCTATTCACATTCATTTCAATATGGAAGACATGATGATGAATAATTGTGCTTTGTGATCTATTTGAATTATTTTTCAGTGTCTGTGAAAAGCACTCCTTTCATTGTCGTTGCTTATTTCTTTAAGGACTTTTCTGATGCACCAACAAAACATCATAAAGTGATGAACAAGTGGCAAATTATTTTCTGCAATCTTCAATTCCATACACGCAGAGAAGTCGAGAATATATAACATGAACCTGACAAACCAAAGCTTACGACACTACTGACTGAGATAGTTTCGTCATTAGTTTTTGAACTTTTTCTCTTTCTATAAATTTTTAATTATCTACGTTTTTCATTTCAATTTTTACAATGAGATTGCTTCAATTTCGCAGAGTTTCGCTACTTTTTTTTGTGTTCGTTAGCAAAGTTCATGTCATTTAATATTATTTAATTAAATGAAATTGAATTTCAGTTTCTGCAATCTTGAGTTTAAGCGCATTTTAAATTGAATTTAATGTGAAACTATTCATTACTTTAACAGTTGGTTTCTTTTTTGTCAATTTATGAAAGCTGAGATTCTTATTTCTTTGAAGAACATTTTCAAAGACTTGTTAAAAGAAGGAAAGTTTTGATTTTTCCGGTTATATGAGCAAACAGAGAAGCGCGAATGCGATTCGTAAAAAGAAATTCAGGAAATATCTATGTGAATCGTTTAGATTTGGGTCGGTTGATATTCAAATATCCTCTAGTAAAGGAAAATGCCTCAAGAGAAATCTCGGCCCTTCTAATTTCCAATGAAACGACACTTTGTAAAATTCTCGCACGCGAAAGCGAAATTTTTTATGATTAAAGTTTGTTGCCTCGGTATTTTTTTTATTTCATGCTTTCGTCGCCTTTTTTTTTTCGTGGGATACGAAAATTACCCTTTAACGGAATCACACAGACTTGCCTTTCCCTTCACCCCATCATTTACACTTACTTCTTTCCTTTGTCGTCAGCTTTTCTTTTTCTTCTACTTAAAAATATCTTTTTCCTTTTCCGACATTTTTTTTTCTTCAATATACTTATTTAAACGTGCTAATAAAAAGGCTCTCACACGCTAAAAGAATTTCAAACGTTTAATTTAATTTAATCACTTAATTCTCCAACTTTTTCGGAGTCACACTCAGCGAGATTATAAAGAAAGAATATAATTTTTCAACATTAATTGGATGCGATAATCGTAGGGAAATAATATATAAAAAAGGAACGACAAATGCCTCGCTGTGATTGCTTGCAATTTAACTGAGATTGTATTACGATACGTAACTGTAGGACTTGCAAAGATTCTTGCAAAATGCGACATTATTAACATTTGATACAAAGTTCTAAAGTACAAAGTTTCTCTATGATAAATGTTCACTAAAGCAGGAGCTACAAATTTCAGGGAGTGTTTGATTTCACTTCGTAATTGTTGAATTTTTCCATTCCTGATATCTCGCAGCATTTTTCGAGATGCCAAATCTAATTACATGCTGTAACCTTTTCATTAACATCTAAATGACTGTTCAGTAATTTAGTAAGATTGATAAAATTGAGGTAGAAAGTGGGCAGATGATTTTGAAGTGAAAGCTTAGGAAAAGATTGAGATGACTAAGGAAGGTTGTTAAAGTCTGGAATGAATGAGCGGAGATTTTATTGCGTTTTCAGGTAAATTTAAAATTGATTGCATTGATTGATTGAATTCGCTGATCGGATAACTTTTAAATTAGAATAATTACTGTCATTAATTGCATTTACAATGTTAATACGTTCTCCATGACAGAAAAATATTTAAATCTGACAAATTATGCAATGAAATTAATTCATCAGTAAATGAATTTGAATTTGAATATTAATAAACATGAACAGGGACATCAAAACAATCTTCAATACAAACCTTCGACTAACGAAAAGTGAAAGAAAAACAAACGACAAATGAAAAGAAATTGGAATGTTTCTCGATCTCAAAGTGTTTGTCAAATATTTGATTTGCTAAAAAATATCACATTGTAAGATAGAAAAGGATAGAAAAAGGCAGTTAATGGTGAACAAGAGAATGAGAGGCAGCAAAGACAATCTGTTTGCTATATTTATTAAAAAACACTTGGGTTGTGAGAAAAGCGACTGAGAGCCCATTAAACGAAAATAAATGTTTGGCTATGGCAGTTCTCAATTTCAAAACTGCCATGAAAGATCTAACCCCATTTCGCGAGTTCACGTTAGCGGCAACAGAATAATTGTTAACCATAAAGAATGAAAGCAGAGAGTTTGGATTATGGATTTGATGGGAGAATTAACACAAAGCGAGAAAAGAAAACGAGGGAAATTAAAAATGGATTTTAATAACTAAAAGCGAAGAAGATTGCGACACTGTTTTGAGTACAATGATGTGTTGCAATTGCTCTGTTTCATTTAGATCGTACTCATCCTTACGAGACTTTAAGACTGCAATGAGAACGATAGTAATTCAGTTAATGATGAAAAATGTATCTCTTAGCGCAACATGATGATGGAGCCAATTATGGTGGGTTTGAGGACCGACTGAGCTATGTAATTAGAAGAACTAAGAAAGCAAATGAAAAAAAAAACGAAAGATATTCTGAACAATCAAATCATTGAGCGTCATGGAACTAATTTGAAAGGAAAAGAAGAAAAGCAAAAAAAAAAACGCGCAATAAAATCCGCATGAAAAGAATTTAATTTGTTTTAATGGATTGGTACGCTACGGTACGGATAAGCTTCATTTTTCCCAATGATTGCAAGGAAACGGTTGGTTCTTCCAGCAGAATCACAAAATAATCCTAACAACTGCCTTCCTTTGCCATCTAAAAAAGAGCTTTTTTAATTTGCTTCTGCCATTATTGTGAGTGCTGAACAACAAAGAGCTTCACGAATTTGCATTTTTATTTTTTCCGAAAATTATGTTAGAACAAACTGGAGGGTATAAAAGTAAATTCGAGCCGTTGATGATGCGGAAGAAGGCATGAAAGAAAAAATGTCACAACGGAATAAAGAACAAGTTAAGATTTTTTTTGGCATTAGCACAATGTGATATTCAAGCTGACTGTGGCCGAGTTATCTCCGGAGTCTTCGCTTTCCTTTCACTTCCGCCTGAATCTGACACTTTTCTGCCATTCCTTGTTGTGTTTACTGTCTGTTTTAATGCAAGAAGAACATGAGAATATTTACAAGTCAATGTGAGTTTCATTTATGAGTAAAAAGCGATTAAGAAAAAAGCCTAAATTGGATTGTCAAGAAGGTGTCAAGAAATATTTCACGAAAAATGAAGGTTTTAAACAAATTAGATGTCTAAATTTCCTTGATGTTTTCACAGACTTTGAAGGCGTAAAAAAAAAGAAAAACTTTGCTAACTTCGTTGCAAGAAGAAATTTCTTATTTTAGTAGCAGTGAACGAAAAACTATTTTCCAACAAATGAATATCAGGTAAAAATCTCTTACATAATGCCAGGTGTTTGAATTAATCGTAAGCTCAAAGTAATCAATCATATCTCGACAAACACGTCGAGTTCTTTACCCTAAAAATATATAAATGGAAATTCAAATTAAAATCAGGGGAGCTTCCCAAGCGGTTACGTCGCGTAAGCTCAGATACAAACATAAATGTTTTGGAAAAATCCTAGGCAAAGATTTTCATTCTGTGATATGAGCCTTGAACGGATTTCGCCCTTCTCATCAATTTAATTTGTTGATACATCATTGTATATCAACGCATAATGCCTCACATCTCGCTTCCATGTGATACGCCAAACTTTATTCATTTTCTTTTCTCGTTTCACGGTCTTTATTCTCCCTCCAGCCTCATTGTTTGATGAATACATTTCTCAACAATAACAACAAGCAAAAAAAAAAAATAACAAGAAACTTCTTCCTTCATCATCACACTTTTCCCTGCCGTGATCTATTTTTACAATCATAGACGTTGTCATCACCACATGTATCTATATGGAAACGATGACAACGTGTGAGTTTGGTCTGTGTTTACACGTCGGTGCAACTTCTGAGAAACAAAAGATGACACATTTTGTTTCTTTACTTCTATGAACATCTCAAATGATTTCGATGATAAGGGAATATAATTTTTGATACACAACTTGACAGGTGCTCACATTGAATATCTGAAGAAGAAAATTCCAATTTTTTCCAGTATTTATCACCAGAAAAAGTCTTTTCCAAGGAAGAAAAATTTGTTGACATTGACGAAAAGCGAAAGAAGGATTTTATTCCGGGCGTTTTACAGTTAATATTTTTCTATAACTCAAATCATCATGGTGCTTTCAAAGTTGTTATATGAATCGAGAGAACAGAGTGGAGACAGAAGAAGAATGAAGGTAAAGAAAAATAAAGTTCGTGAACGGAGCATGCGCAGTGACAAGTTTAAAAGCTTCCAAAAGACCTCAATGTAAAGGCATTGATTTATTTCCTCGCAAGAGAAAAGAAAAGAACGAACATGCAAGCTTTGAATTCTTCAAGCATGTGTTAGTGTGGAAATTTGGAAAATGGAAATTGCTATCAAAGCCTTTAAGTGTGTGTGTAAAAACCGAGAAAATGCAGAAAATATTTCCCATCATCTTCAGTTCTTCGGATGCTGTCGCTCGATTCAGTTGAAGTTCGAGACATAAACAAGAAAACAATTGAAGTATTGTGGCTTTTTTTTCTCTTTTGATGAAAGAAATAATAAAATTTTGAGCAAATTATATTCTTGTTTTATAGTCTTGGTGGCAAAATAAAACGAAATTGATGTGGTGATTTTAACGAGTGCGTAAACGATGTCAGATTTCTTACCAAATCATCCACAAAACTCGTAAAATTAAGTCATGCAAAAATCTCAGCGAAAAGTGATGGGAAGTTTTTTTTAAATGTTGGGAAAGTAAGCCTTCGATTTCGGGGAAAGAAAGGGAAGGAACGATACAACAAAAGCAACAACAACAAACGAGGTTTTTCACAGATTTCCATGCGAAATCGTTGAGCGTGTGTGTATGTGTGTGTTGAAAGAAGAGAAAAAAAAAACGGCAATTGGAAAAGAAATATCCAACAGCATCCAGGCAAATCGATTTTAGTCAGGTGTTGTCTGCGATCCGAATAAGCTTGATATCTCGATTCTTAGACGCGCTAAGACTCCTTTTTTTTCACACAATGGATCAAATTTAAAGGAGTGGGAACGAGAAAATAAAAAGTCTGTGGCAGTAAATCAATTGAAATTGAAGAAGTGAATAGCAGAGTCAGTTTTATGATGGAAGATTTCAAATTTCTCAAAATAATTAACGCAACGTCAACCTTTGAAAAGTGAGTGAAAAAAGATTAAAGTTTAGTTCCTCTTTTGTGTTCCGATATCAGCCAAAATCGAAGTCGTGTAATAATTTTGCAAATTATCGTGGAGTGAGAAAGAAAATACGTAAAGTGACAAAATCTGGCAAATAATTCTTCAAAACCCTCAAGGAGAAAAAAAAGGGGAAAACCATCCTAAAGAGGACTCAACCTGTGCAAGAGAGCCAAGCGGAATAGAACAAAAATCTAATTTATTTTTACGAAAAAAGGTAAGGAATTTAACATTTCTTCTATTGGGATTGATGAGGACACAGACATAGAATCGCTCCCACACATGGTGCTTTGGAGAAATGAAAAATGTGATTGAGAAATTTTTGTGGTGATGAAAAGCAAGAAAAAGTGGAAAGGAAGGAAAAGAAAATGTGAACAAAGCAGAGTGAATTGTGAAGCTTTCTTTATCTGTCTTACAATATCAGGCGAGACTAAAGCTTTGACCTCTTTCAAGTCAGCCAATCCTTCCAAGTCACAATTTTTCAACTACAATCATAAATTACATGTTAAATGTGAAATTTCTCGTTGAGCTATTATGACGATGGAAATTTCGCTTTCTAAAGATTGAGTTGTGAATGCTAAAATAAAGTTTGAATGAAAAATGGAAGCGGAAGAAATGAACACATTTTTGGTTCACTGATGAATGATTAGATATCTACAAATTATTAAGAACGGAAATTTACATAAATAGAAGGCGGGACAAGATAAACTTTCTCGTCGATTTTCCTCATAAATTAAATGTGAAATTCTTTTTTATTTGAGACTTTAATTATAAATCTAATTTCAAGTGATTTCTCATTTTCTGATCTTTGATTAAATTTATCTAGATTTTAAATGTTTTCAATCTACAAATAAATTATTTATTATTTTTGGAAAAGAAAAAACTTTCGAACAACCCTCAAATAGATAATTCGACATTGTACAAGAATCCTTCATCAAACTGTGGAATAAATAAACAAAATTGTATCCAAATGCAATTAAAAATGTGATATTAAGAGTTAGCTTTAGAATTCGAGTTATTTGAAGTTTAAATTTCGATGTTTTGAATGTTTGAAGTTGGAAAGATCCGACGACGTCTTCTGTCTTCGTGTCGAGCTATTTTGTCATATTTGATAATTATACGAAGTATCAATGACATATTGAAGCACTCAAACACTTTACACTTGCATCACATATTATGTGAGAAGCTATTACAGGCACTAAGAAAACAAATTAATGCTCTGCACGACTATGAGGAAGTTTTCGTTCTTAATACTCTATTAATAACGCGAAATAAACACACGAGTTTCAATGATTTTAACGTGGGAAAATTCATAAAAGAACTGTGAATATCAAACGCTTTAAGAGTCATGAATATCAAATAAAACGAAACTTGAGGCGCTTAAATTTATAAATAGGCCAAGAACGTCGGTAATCGCTTTTAATACTATGACGAGAAGTGTAACATAAAAATTCCTCCTCAAATCAAATGTTATCAATCCCTTTTATGATTTTCTGCGTGAAATAAAAAAAAATTATTTCTGCAGCCCATCCCACTTTGATTGATTTATGAGTAAAGTAAAAATTTATACAGTTTAGACTAGAAATTTCAAATAGAAAAATGCTTTTCATTCATCATCGGAAAGGAAACTGACGACTGATTAACGAATTTTTTCAACTAATGACAAAGTTGCTTGTGATGAAAAATAAGAAAGCGACGTTGACAGCATTGAAGATGGCAAGAGTCGACAGACGATTATTTCTTAATATCTAAAGTAATAAACTGAAACAGATATTCAGAGAAATTCTCTTAAAGTAACACCGAGACGTATAAAAAAACCTTTTGTTAATCACTAAGAAAAATGACGAAGAGTGCAGAAAACAAATTTTGACCAAATGTGGAAGAATTTAACTCAGCTTAATTTCTTATCGAGTGACTACAATTGAATTAAAACTGTTAAGTTGTTAATGGTTTTTTAAAGGAAACTAATAAATGGATGCAACGTTGACTGTTTACTTAATAAATTATCTGGATAATCCAACAAGTTGTGTAGCTTCTTCAAATAATAATGAAAATTGAAGGAAAAAATCTCGTCGAATATCATCGCTATGAGATAAATATAATTAAAATGTTTACGATTCAGACTTCGTTTTTCGGTGATATTAAACGAACGTAAAAATAGAAGCATAACTTTTACTCTAATTTATTACTTAATAAACGTTCATCGTTGTTTTTCGTCGTGGAATGTTTGTTTTTGTTTTTACGTTTAATCATTTTAAATCCGATCTGCTCGCACATTTCGAAAAAGTTTTATTATCAAGAGTAATCTTTTTCTTTTGGCATTCTGCCCTGCATCTGAACAAACCTCAATAGAATTCCGAGAATGAAACGAGTGCAGGCGATAGTAAAGCAGTAGAGAAAGTTATGTAGGCGTAATGATACATAATTAAATTGTGAAGCATAAAGTTAAAAAGATTTCGTCTCTGCCAAAATTAGGAAAGCATAACGTTTAACCTGTATTTGCAAACGACATTTGTACGAACTGAGATTGCAGTTGCGAGTGAAAAACAATGAATATTAACACTTCACAGATTTCTTAACCCATTAAAATTTATTTTGCGGCTTTGTTTCATGGCGAATGTATGTTGAGTATAATTGTGATTAGCTTCTATTTTTTTTATTGTGCCCTAGTGCGATTCCTTCTTGTAACATGTCATAAAACACTCATTCGATGCTTTCTCCTCGATTGGGTACGCGTCCCATTGGAAATACCATAACAGTTCGTACATACAAACATAAAATGAAAATGCTAGAAAAAGTCAGAATGCTTGCTTTATCGTTAAGAATTTATGATTGTATAGAGAAAAGCAAACAAAATCCCAAACATTGTC